TCACATTAGGGGTATCATCAACAATGTTTCCCACAGCTGTTTCATCGTCACAGGTATTTACACGATGTGCCCACCCCTGCACAAGTACATTTGAAACTCTCTGTTGAATCTGAAAGAGCTCATTGTCATTGGGGAACAGCTTTCTCATTGTCTCACACTCAGCATCAAATCTATTTTTTGCAGATTCCAGCTCTGCAGCTCTCCGTTGAACCCTCTCAATACAATCCTGCATTTTGAATATCACAGACATTGGTCACCATAAATTATTAACATGGCGATAGACAAGATTCGATAGTTTGAGATTACATTCAATGTATTTGAATCAAGATTCAGTAGTAGTGAATCCAGATTACATTCAATGTATCTTAATCGACATTCAGTTTAAATGAATCGAGATTCACTCCTACTTAATCGAGATTAAATTGAATAAACAAAGTATTGCAACTTAATTTGCTAACCTTTCTAATTGTATCAACACTTTTAGGAGAGTTTCCAGTAGCACTCTGCATTCGAGATGAATCTGGAAGTTCAACCCTCTCTGTAAATGCACCTTTGCCAAATGAATTTGTTCTTATTTCCTCTGACTGCCTTTCCTTCAAGGCGAAGTCAGTCCATCCTAAAAATGTAGGGGTTGTTCTCTCAACCAACCTCCTACCTTTGAACAGAACCCGATCGGCATAGAACAGCTAGAAAGACGGAGATAAGAAATAAAGCACATCAATTAGTAATCATCAAGTAAAACTACTTTAACTACAGTAATGTAAAAATAAATCAATATTATACAAGTGGCTTACAATCAAGAATGCAAGAGGACCCGTGTAGAATTGTTTTGTCGGGTCAACCTTCCACTTTTTTTGGCTATCTATCATTGAGTCAAGTAATAAAGAACACCAATTGTATTGAGAGCATTGATCAACATTATCACCAAGTACTAGAATCCGTTGGTTGACATACGGATTGCTAAGCGATTGGATAATGCTGTTGTGCAAGAGAACCAAGAAATTCAGTTTAAAAAACAGGTTAACATCAGAACTGTGCTTTAGTTTGTCAGACACAGCCCCTGGAGTAATTTTCCAACCAAATCTGTCTGTGAATTGACCCCTCCATTCATCCACCAATGCTGACTTGCCAGTACTGGAAGCTGGTATACGCTTCCTGCCTAGAGGTAATCCCATCACTTGATGTACATCTTCCTCTGTGATACTGATTGATCCTCTGGGAAGATTAAGCGCAACGGATTCACTGTCAAAGGACTGCAGAATCTGGTACCCCAACATATGTGGCAGTTCCTTTAATCCAAATTGTAAAAGACCTCCAAGTCCAGCTAGTATCACCCATTCTTTTTGGGAGTCAGAGAGTGACAAAACCATATCAGAGAATATCTTTGGAGAGACCCGTATCCTAGTCAACTCCTTAGGTTCAGAACTCTCATTTTTTTTTCAAAAACTTCTGCAGTGACAAAAAAAAGAAAATTAGTACAAATTATCCATCAGTTAATAACAAAAAATGGTCTTGTGAATATCAGGATTCACATTAGTGAATCGAGATTCTCTATGTTTAAGTGAATACAAATTGACTCCACTAAGTAGCTATTCACTTGAGTGAATAGAGATACATCCAATGAATCGCGATTCACTGCAGTGAATCTCGATTTCACTACAGTGAATCTCGATTCGCTGCAGTGAATCTCGATTCGCTGCAGTGAATCTCGATTCGCTGCAGTTAATCTCGATTCACTGCATTGAATCTCGTTTCAATCAAGTGAATCGAGGAGTTTAAAGTAGAGTGCATATTGCAGAATCCAGACAACCAGAGTTAATCGTTCACAAATGTAAAAAGATGTTTAGTACATTAACCTTTTTCATCTTTTTCCTTCCTTTTGTCATCTGTTCATTGTCTTCATCCCTACTACGCTTTGATGTTTCGTCAGCTGCAGGATTATTTGGGGGGTTCACGAGGTCATCGTCAGTGTTAGAGCTCACATATCTTTTTTTCACAAGCTTCTCCAGTGAGGAAAATAATATAATTAGATCAAATTATCCATCATTGAATACACAAAAAAAATTAAAATTTTTTAGTACACCAACCTTTTTCTTCTTCATTCTTCTTGGGGTCTGTTCATTCTCTTCATCCCTTGTACGTTTTAATGTTTCCTCACTGTCAGGATTATTTGGGGGGTTGATGAAGTCATCGTCACTGCTTTGCATGGTCACAACCCGTGTTGTCTTCTGTTGAGGTAAAGGTGTAAATACCTCAACCTTCTCAACACATGCTTTTTTTTTATTCTTGAACTAGATCGTAGACCTGCTAAACCGATGACATGTCATTTTTTAATGATAACAGACTTTGTATAATGCATGGCAAGCATGAATGTTTAATCACATTATTGAATATAGATATTATAATCCATATCGCAATTCATTGTTACATTTTTTCAGTGTCTCGTCACTCAACACAACAAGGAAAAACTGATCATCGTTACAGTTTAATTTCACTGTTAGTATACATAAACCATATAATTAGTGAATCGAGATTCTCTATGTTTGAGTGAATACAAATTGACTCCACTAAGTAGCTATTCACTTTAGTGAATAGAGATACATCCAATGAATCGCGATTCACTCTAGTGAATCTCGATTCAATACAGTGAATCTCGATTCACTTGAGTGAATCGAGATTCACTGTATTGAAACGAGATTCACTAGAGTGAATCGCGATTCATTGGATGTATCTCTATTCACTAGAGTGAATCGCGATTCATTAGAGTGAATCGATATTCATTATGAAAAACACTGCGATCTATAACAATGAATCTCGATTCAATGCAGTTAATCTAGATTAACAACTATAACGTGTTCAACTGAATTCAAACTCTCCATTTAAATATCCATAAAATGTTAAGCGTGTAAGCTCCTATATAATAAATAATATGACTAAGTATTTAAATACTGAATCTAGATCCATTACAATCAAAACAACTAGACCCTGCACACCTGAATTCAAGCTCTCCATTTAAATCTCTATAAAATGTTTAAAGGTCAGCTGCTGGACGATGATAGAGAGAGCTGAAAAACGCTGAACGAGAGATGCTAGACGACGAACGATAGCTGCTGGACGATGAACGACAGAGCTGAAGAACGCTGAACGAGAGCTGCTGGACGATTTCCCGATGAACGAGAGCTGAAGAACGATGAACGATGAACGAGAGCTGATGGACGATTTCTCGATTGAGAGAGAGCTGCTCTTCGTGACTGTTGGGTTGCCTGAGCCGTGAGAATGCATGGGGAAATGGAGAACTCAACAGAGAGGCATTAATTACCTCTCTTTAGTGGGATGTTTATTTTACCTGATTACCCTTATGCAGCTTTAATCTCAGCCATTGGATGAATCTAGATCCAATGGAGAGGAGAGGTTTTTAGTTTTTAGGATAGTGAGGTTTGTATTTGAACCTCTCCCTATATATATATATATAACCTCTAATAAAAACCTCCTTAGCCTAAAAACTAAAAACCTCATTCATCCAATGGCTAGGATTCAGTCAAATGGTCAACAGACACATGTATTAATTACCTCATTAAACACATGTATTAATTACATCAACGCAATGAATCCAGATTCACTGTAGTGAATCCAGATTTACTGTAGTGAATCTGGATTTACTGTAGTGAATCTGGATTCACTGCAGTGATTCGAGATACGTTGAGGTAGTGAATCTGGATTCACTGCGTTGAGGTAATTAATGTATGTGTCTGTTGACTGTTTGACTGAATCCCAACCATTGGATTCATCTAGATCCAATGGATGAAGGAGGTTTTTAGTTTTTAGGCTGAGGAGGTTTTTATTAGAACATCTCCCTATATATATATATATAATCAGAATTTTTTTGCTTGTAAACCTAAAGTTTTACTGCTGTTTACCGAAAAACCCACCTAGTTCTATATGTTTCAATAGATACAAAATGCAAAGTTGTTTACTTTTAAACCCAAACTATAGGATACAAAGTTTATAGCTATATACAATGGTGTATGTAGTTATACATAAACACAACGTAGGTAACAATACACCCTATAGTACGTAGAAAATACACCCTATATAGTATGTATAAATACACTCTATAATATGTAATTATACACCTAGTTTTATGCAGCTATACACTTTGTAACATTAGATAAATATTGAATTAAAATGCTTATGGCATTTGTACGTTTCTTTCTATTATCTATAACAATTAAGAATCTAAGTTAAATCAAACTAAGAAGTTTTAACAACATATATATATATATATATATATATATATATATATATATATATATATAACATTAGATAAATATTGAATTAAAATGCTTATGGCATTTGTACGTTTCTTTCTATTATCTATAACAATTAAGAATCTAAGTTAAATCAAACTAAGAAGTTTTAACAACAAAAGTCAAGTTTTGATCGCATGGGATAATACAAATGAATATTTTTTAAATATTTAAGTAATGAGTTTTAGTTTTCGGGATAAACAAGTGATTGGTTTTGAACCCAATATTATAAAAAAGTAGCTTATATTATAATTAATAGTGATATCGGGTTTTGCTTTGAATCACACGTGTCCGTGGCGTGTCTGTGGAGAATTCGTGTTCGATGGACACGTGTCGGACATGGACACAACATCCAAACACCGCGTCCGAGTAACCTAGTGTAGCACCAATCAATGCATACACAAATTTGGTAAAATTGTTTCAATTCATTTTTTTTCAGCACGGACGTTTGTGTAAGAAATTGCAGACAACCATTAATATTTCCATCTAGTTAGCTCACAGTGTATTAGTTGTATTTGCGAGTAGCACAACCATACATTGATCAATGTGTGAAAGGAGCCACTTAATTTCACTAGAGAGCTCCTTCTTTAAGGCACATATTGCTAGCATTTTCCTTGTGTGTTTCTCACACCAAAAGCTTCCATTTCCAGGCGGCATTAAGTGACATTACCATTTGGTAAAAATTTTGAGCAGACTCGAGTAGAGCAGATCACCCAACAGCTGAAATCTGGAGCTATGGAGATTGAAGATGATCAAGGTTCTCAGTCGCCAAAGCAGGATCCTAGTCAGCAATCAGCTACTAATCATGATGGCCAACAGGTAAAAACTTTTGCAGCTTGCTTATTGTGACTTTCTGCTTTGTTTAGGATACTTCTTGAAAGAAATATTTTCCTCAGTTATTTTTTTTTTTGCATAAATTTTACAGTTTGCCTATCGTCTACTGTTTTTAGGATTTTTTTCCAGCTTATGCTGATTCTTAGATCTTTTTCTGAAAATTTTCAGGACAAGAAATTTGAACTCTTGGAATTAGAAAAAAGAGAGATAATTGGTAAAGAGCTTTTCTTAGGTTGCTCCTGTAATTTTGTTCTTTATAAAGGGTTTGCATAAAGATTTTTAATTTTCTTGCTTTCGTTTTCAGGTGAAATTTTACGCTTGAATCCTAGTTACAAGGCTCCACCTGAATACAAACCATTACTGAAAGAGGGCAAAGTTGCAATTCCGGTAAGTCTAATTGTGAGTGGTTGGTTCTTGACTTCTTGGTCTATCATCCTTTTGATGTTGCTAGGCTTTGGAAGATAATAATGAGAATATCTGCATTATGTGACATTCCTTTTATTGTGTTCCTTATGGTCATCACATGACAATGGAATTTATGTATGGAAAAAGTAGTAGATTGTGGTTGAGCAGCGAAGTGTAAGAGTGACAACTGACTTGCTGAAAGGTTTCTACATTTATTTTAAAAAAGACCTGAACTACCTTACACAGTAATCTTCATATTCTTGACGTGAAGGTTCTATACTCCTTTGATGACTCCAATGTCTTGAATGGACTGGGAGAGAATGTGGATTGAGCAGAACATACTATTAGCATAGAAATATATCTTAGTGGATACAAGATACAACATAAGCTATTTGCCATATGTATATGTATATATGTATGTGTGTGTGTGTGCACACACATACACACACATAAATATCTTTCAATTTAGAACCACTATCAGACCCGTGTAACCTTTATACACAAATTTGTAGCTTTTTTTCATATTCTTGACCTGAAAATTTTATACGACTTTGATGACTGCCCTATTATGAACGGAATGGGAGAGAATGTGGATTGAGCAGAACGTGCTATTGGTATAGAAATACATCTACAATATGTGAAATGTAGATACTGGTTCTTGTTGGATACAATAAAAGTTATTTTGCCATACGTATATATACATATATAAAGAAATACTTTTCAATTTAGAGCCACTATCTCACCCCCCTTACTTTTATACACAAATTTGTTGCGTGGTATTGTAGATTGTTAGAGTGTAGAATTATAATCCTCAACCTTCACCACAACTTAGTGGTAGGCAAGGTTTTAAATATCGGTTATCGGGGATTTATCGGACGGTCAAAATCCTTATCGGATAGTGGAAATCGGGGATATATCGAGGATAAGTAGTATTTATCGGAGTGATATACTGGATGGTGTATATATATAATATAATAACCAAAAAATGTAATCTAACCATGCTTAATGAAATTTAAACATACCAAAATGTAAATAATCATGTTTAGAATCATGGGTAGAGAGGTAACACTCCTGCTAAAACATCTCACCAGGGATATGCATTAGATGACCTTCCGCACATACACATACATACATACATACACATACACGTACATACATGCATATAGACACACATACATACATATGTAGAAAAATAGTTCCTACAAGCTCGAAAATCAATTGGAAGTAGCATTATTCAAGGAAAGTGAGAAAAACTCTATAGTTAAGCATGCTCAAGGAGGAGCAGATTCATTATGACTGACCTCACAGAAAGGTTCTCATTTGTGCTAGAGGTATTACCATTGCCTCTCTATGGCCCTGCATGTTTGAAATTTATTTTCATGACATGTTTCATTGAGCTTTCTTTGTGGGGATCGATGGAAAAAGATTTATGTCAAGTTTGTGTTTCAAATTTAAAAGAACCTCATCTTAATTTGGCTGAACTTGTTTGTTTTTCACTTGTTAATTTTTAATATATTTGCAGGTTAAAGCCTATCCGGGATACAATTTCATTGGTTTACTATTGGGGCCTGAGAGTAATACTCAAAAACGATTAGAAGAAGTAAGAAATCTCTTACATACACCTTGCTTTTGTTTTTCAGTGAACATTATATTCAAATGATAATTCTGTGAGCTAAGGCATGAAGGCGCAATGGACTTTTTCTGCTAGTATTTATTATCAGCATCTTTATTTTCACTAATATTTTCATCATCATTTTCATCTTTTTCCTCATCACCTTCACCAGGGGCGTAGATCATGATTAAAACTATTAATATGCTTCTGTGTATTTGCATAAACAAAT